TTCCTGAAGGCAAAGTTGGATCTTTCGATATGATTCAACCGCCTTTTCTTCTTCCAACACTGCAGTACTGAGCTCCGCCTGCAACCGATTTAGTTCTTTGAGAAGAAAAATTAGAGAGGATGAATGGAGTGTGACAGAACAACAGTTACACAACTATAGTTATCGCCAAACGTCGGTAATTCCCCGTAACTTGGGCAATCATTTCAACAATCAGACATCCCAACCTCCTCAAATTTGTTTTCAAAAAGTCAACCCCACTTTACATTCACAGGAAATTTCTATTCGAGTTCACTAAATTCGTCGTGTTCTTCAAGGAAGCTTGAGCAACAAAACTCAATCATAAGAATCAGAAACCACGCTCAGAAGTCTAGTTTTACGAAAGCACCAAAAGTCACCTGAAAAACAACTTTTTGTGAAGCCTTAAACCATACGCATCCATTCACTTCCAATTAAAATCGACTAATCTGACAAAATGGCCTCACATTAACTTAATGTTGATCATTACCACTTGGTTCGTTGTTAACGCATATGAAGTAGAAATCCTATTTCCTTTTGAGAGTGAGTAGTTACTACGGGGATATTGCAGTGCAATCAATCCTAAGCCATTTATTTCAGTGAGAAGTGTAGCAAAGAATAGACAGAAATAAGTACCTTCAGATAGTTCGGGGAGAAGGGAGTAGTTTTGAAACTGGCAGAAACTGCGTTCCATTAGGTACTCAGGATTGATCTCTTCAACCCTCAGAAGATTCAACAACATGTTGTAGGTGATATGGAAGGCGGAGTTGAGGGGTGCCGGTTTACCCTGCAAGATGGCATGACCCGCCTGTTCTGTGAGGGTCTCGTCCACCATCAGAATAACCGTGCCGCTTGCATCCTTGCCTCGTCGGCCCGCGCGGCCCGACATCTGAACATACTCACCTGCTGTGATCTAAAAGAGGAAAAACAAAGTTGGATCAGATAAATACCTTATTGTGCTATCAAATCAAATATGCCCTTTTAGTTACCGTAGCATTCAGTAAAAAAACCAACGACTTCTGCTCTCAAAATTAGACGAAAAATGTGCTATCACTTCCTCATAATCTAAGTAAATCACCAGTAAAAGGTAGAAAATCATCCAGACCTGACAACGTAATACATATAAGCTGCCTAGGTATATCTTGTGAGTTAAAAACCGAAATTCAGTTTGAACGTCATTCCAGCAGAGAAGGACCCTTCAAGGGTGGACCAAGAATAAATATTTCCTATCCTCCATTACTTCCTACCCCTCACATTATACCGCTGTGCTTAATAAAACGTTTGGAAGACAGCACATTCTTCAGAGCCCTCCCGAGAGGTAGGCAGTGGCAACGAGGATAAGAGTAGATTCTTGACCGTATTTCCATGACTGCTTCAGTCAACGAACTCCAAACTGTCTTTCGCCTGAAATCCCGACATTTTTGAGGTTTGTGATGATATTTATGCCAGAAACCTTCATCGCTTATCTGGATTGACCAATTAAAGTTCGGCTTTCTATTGTTATCTGAGTGCCATCCGAAGACTGAACAGACCATGTCTGCACGTATGCACCCACTACAGCCTAACTGACGAACCTAATTTCACCTTAGACACCAGATAGGGTCATCTAAATGCTCTTTACCGTATCAACCGGTCAAAAAAAGCACAAAAGAGCATCACTATGGAAAACGAGCCGCAGGTGCACCGCAACAATGCATACTGTCGGCCAGTCAAAATGTCAATCGAAAGGAGAGAAGACGGGAGACTTCGAAGTAAAAGCCCTTACTGCTCCACCCGCACTAACATGGACAATTTCAACAGAGCTTACTGATACTCTCCTCAATGAATTTAAAGTTGAATATACCATTCCTTCCTACTTTCCGTGGCTTGGGATATTTT